GTGGTCAAGCTGTGGTACAGGCTTCCTAGAAAGGTGGTCAGTACCCCAAGTCTGCCCGTGTTTAAAAGGCATTTGGACAATGCCTGAATACTGCTTTAATTTTTGGTCCACCCTGAACTGATGAGGCAGATGGACTAGGTGATTGCTGCTAAGTACCTTCCTACTGAAATATTTTGTGCAATAAATAACTAAACAAAGTGATGGGAAGCTTGACTTGCACTTTATGTTTTTACATTTAGAGTTTCAGCTTATTTTTGCAAGATACCATCTGGTGTCAGTTGACTCTTTTCCTTCAAAGTATTCTTAAAGCCTGTGGAAAAACTTGCCATTCAGAGGCTGAACACAGGCTGCCTGATAAATTGCATGTGTTGTGAATTAGGTGTTGTGCTGGTACAGGGTATTGTCCATGTATTTCTGTGCAGTTATGTAGCCAAGCTCAAGACTTACTGTATTTATCAGCAAACCATTATAAAAGTGTCTTTGATAATATTATAGAAGATAAATTTGAGATCATTTTGTTGGTGCTTTGACTGCCTGAAAAGAAATATATGTAAGAATTTTTTACCAATGTTGAAGTGTTTTAGACAGTAGTTAGCTGTAATAATGATGACTAGATATTTAGGAAAAAAAAAACCTGATTTTGTGCACTTTTTATTCTAGGTATTTCAGCCACGGCCTGGAGATCATGAGAAGTATGGAGGCGACCCTGAGCAGCCCCACCAAATCCATGTTGTTACTAGAATAAAAAGTGTCATTGGTCGCCCATATTGGGAAAAGAAGATAATACGTGATCTTGGACTGGATAAAGTATGATTGTTGTTCTTGTTGTGTATGTTAGAAATGTAGCAATAAGGAGGTGAATTTTTTAAGGACCTCAATTTTGCAGTCACAAAACATAGTTACATTTACAGCAGCCAGAAAGCAATCTGAGAAGCTGATGGTGTGTTTAAGAGCTGAGGGGAATGTTTGTGGCTAATGTGCTTGTAGTGGGAATTCAGAATATCTCTGTGTGGTATTGTGCTGCATTGCTTGAGGAGAACTTTACCCTGAGAATTCTGCTAAACTAATAAATATAGGTTTGTAAATTGAATTCAGTTCTCTGTGGGTCATATAGTTCAGATATTGTAGGGAGGCGAATAAGACCCATTTATCAATGAAAAGGCTTCCAAATTCAAGACTCTAAAAGTTTCTGTCAGATGTGTTTTCTGAGTTTTTCAGGCCAASTGCACATTGTGCAAAGATTTGTCTAGTCAGTGTTATATCACAGAGAAAAACATGAGTGCTTGATCCATTTAACATAACTGAAGGAAGCACTTTTACTCCTTAACTCTTGCATTTACATTTACAGTATTTTTAACAGTTTGAAGAAAAATACATTTATAATGGAGTAGGAATAAAGCCAAAGTTGTCATTTTACTGGAGTCAGATTTTGACTGCATATTTTTATGTATGTTCTTGAAGCATGACATTTCTCTGAATCTTATATTTRCAAATGTGGTTTATTTTTTGCAAAGTTTGGTGAACAAAGAACTGGGATTTGGCAACACATTTGTAAAACCTGTTTTATCCCTTATGTAGGCACATCGGCCAAGACTGCACAAAAAYATCCCTTCTGTGAATTCCAGACTGAAAGTTATTAAACATCTGATAAGGTTTGTTAACTATTTGTGTATTTATTTGTTAATTTGGAACATTTAATGTAACTCTCTTCTAGTCACAGTACTTCACTAATCAAACTCTTTTGCCTGTAGAATACAGCCACTGAAACTACCCTACGGGCTGCCAACAGAAGAGGAAGTATCCAGCACCTTTCTTACAGCCAAGGGAGAGCTTGTCTTTAARAAGTGCCTGAAGCCTGTGGAGCAGAAAGAAATCAAGTCATAAGGTGTGCTGGTTGGATTTAGATTTTATAAAATAAATACTTTAAATCCTCAGTTAAGAGTTTGTGTAGGAAATGTAAAAATTCTTACTGTGGTATGAATGGCAAAGGTGATGCTAATGCTTAAAGAATGATTGCAGGTGTACAGATATGAAGTTCAATGTTGTTAATAGTTACCTGAAATATTAAATGACTTATAGGCTCTCTGTCTCTGTGTTTTAATTTTGTGGCTAGATTACTGCAGTTTATGGCTAGCTCTAAGAGAACTTTATTTATAAAGTCAAATAACCAGAGAAGTGAGTAGAATAGATCTAGCTAATGACAGTGAGCAAATTTCACAGCTAACAGTAAAGGTTTTCAGCAATAATGCAGGACTTTCACTGCACAAGGGAGGGAACTGAAATTTCAAGCYCCTCTCTTCAGTATTCACATAAGAATTGACTGGCTGTCCACGGAGAGTGACTTATCTTGGTCAGACAGATCTCACACTTGTTCCTTAGCAAACAATCTGTCATCTGGCTTCTTCTGTAGCTTAAAAAGTACATGAACTCTCCATTTGGAAGTAACAGGAGTTATTCACAACTTGGTAGATTGTATACTTTTTCTTTCAGGAAACATGGTGCCTTCGTATGTGTCCTCCTGATCCTAGAAGTTCAATAAGAATAGCCTAAGAGCTGCAGTCTATGTGAAATGTAATGATTTTYCTGTTCTAAAATTGCAGACTTTAGAAATGTGGARACACTGATGCATACCTCTGATGTGRGTTAAAATTATSGGCTGCAAGCTTATAAATTACTACTGTGTGCTTAGTTTTGTTTACAGTTTCAAGAATTACAGCCAAAGTTAGCAAGCTGCTGCTGTATCAAATGATAAAGTAGTTGGCATTCCAGACAGTACYAATTCTGTAGTTTAACACACTGTGAGCCTCTCCCACACTAGACACACTGAAGAAGGGTTAATCTTAATGACTATGTTGTGAGAAGATCAGAGGGGTACAATCGCTGAAAATTAGTGTTTATCCTTTCTGCCTGCTTGCAGAGAAGAGTAAACACCTGTGGGAGTTCAAAGGAATGATATATCAGTACAAAAAGCTGGAAGCATTGTATGCAGAAGGAAAAGGACAGACCATGGTAGTGCCACTGGGGGGTGGAATGGCCCCTATGGCCAGGCTGAAGGCAGAAATAAGAATTTGAGCTGTAACAAARTACCATGGATAAGTGAAGTGGATAAATGAATGTTGTTTTTCTTACCTCCCTCCTCTCTTCCAGTCACTGTGCAATGCAACAACTGCAGTTTCTGCAAGGTGTTAATTATATTCCCACAGGCAGTACAAGCTGGAATTTAAGGCCCTTTGAAGAATGTGTGTAGTGCATCCAAGGTGCAGGGCATGCTTTAAAGGGATGGTGCAAGTACTAGGACACAAAATTAGGGAAATGGGTCTTGTTGATGGTGGAGAGCAAATAATAAGACTTGTGCCAGGATTGGTGTCCCAGAGTACCGCAGCCAGGCTGGCTCAGCCTTTCCAGGCACGTTTGGGATTTGTGTCTACGGCGCTGCTGCCCGGTGAGCTTCCAGCAGAGGGCTCTGCCAGCTCCATCCCACACGGTCTGTGTGTGGATATGCATATGGATCTCTGACGCTGCAGCCTATCCCAGAGAGAAGGTGTTAATGAAAAGGCTAGCATGGTACCATGCACAGCTTAAGAAAGTGTCTGATAAACTAAGGTGAAGCAGAGCTAATAACAGGCTCTTCTCTGGAGAGAAGGGAAAATACATAGTACCTGYTATTTCTGGTTAAGATTCATCTACAAGAGATGTTTGCAGAGATGTTTAATTGACAAGCTAACAGTTTAAATGAAAAAGAAAATTGTAAATTTTTAACTTTTCAATGTATGTGTAAGTTCGGGTGGTTTTGAAATGGTATTTCCCCCAAGATCCCCTGACTGTTGCACAGTTAGTCTGCTATCCCAAACATTCTCTGTATAAATAYACATTCTCTAAAGACTTGCTCTCAAGCCTAAAACCTGCACCGGCAGGATGCACAAACACAATGTGTGTCCACATTCTTTCACTAATGGAGCTTTGYAATGCTCTATGTAGATCTTTATGAAGCACAGATAAAAGATTATGTCTTTTTGTGTAGGGAACGGACAGGCTGACTTAAGATGATTGCAAAATTCAGGTTGGGAGGTCTCTAGTCCAACCTCCTGCTCAACRCAGGGTCAGCACTGAGGTCAGATGAGGTGGCTCATTGCTTTGTCCAGTTGGGTCTTAAAAGGCTCTGATAGGGACAGCTCAGCCTCTCTTGACAGCTGGCGTTGCTGTTTTGTACTGCTGTTAGACACAAGTATTGACAGATAAAATGTAAGGCAGATAAAATCTTGGTAAGCAGTGTTACAACTTCCTTGCAGCATTAATCTACTGCTTGAGAAACTGCAGGCACAGATGAAAACTCTAAATATTCTCATGAAGTAAGATGAAAAATAAATGGYAAAATATAGATTACAGTTTGGACTATTAGCATTGTTACCTTTTAAGGTTTTTCTTTAGCCTTAGCTGAGAACCCCCCTAGCTACACTGTCTTCCCCCATTCTTGCTGTTTCTGGGGCAGAAATCCAGAATGTTTTTAATTAGAAGCAAAGTATGTAATCAGGGCCTCAAATACAATCCTTAATCAGAGATCTCAAAATCTATATCTCTTATAAAACCTGGCTCTCTCATCCACATCATTCGCATGGTTGTCAGTTTTGCCGAAATCCATTTTGTCATAACTGGGTAGTGCTAATTCCTGCATTATAGGCTGGTATCCCACCTGGAATGAAAGAAACACATAAACAAAGTKCTATTTAATCCGTAAATATGCAAACAAACATCACAACTGAGAAGCACTGSTTTAGTTTATAGATCTCTTTCCACTAGTACTGTTGACCATAGTAATACSATTCCCAGCTATTTTTGTCAGAGGTGTTCCTTTTGTGTTTTAACTTGGTGAAGAAAGCATAATTTCTTCCTTTACATCCAAACTTGTTGATTATTGGCCCCTTGCTGTGTTTTGCTGACATTAACATCTTCAGTTTTATACCTGTTTCCTTGTGTCCATATTCCTTCATGCCCACCTACAACACCCACACCAGTAACCTCAGACATGTTTGTGTTATGGTTGTAGTAAAGGGATCCAATCATAACAGCTGCTTCAGTGTAATCAGTGCCCAGGAATAAGGAATGTTTTCTCTAGAGAGGATCCTGCCTTTTCAAAATTATTGTTCTCCTCCTTCAGAGTTGCCAGGATAGGTTGCTTTTTGTAGGTTGGTTTAGAACCACAAAACAAATGGCATGGTGAAAGGAAGAGGAGAACCCACCGTTACTCCTTGCAACTGAAAAGTGTCATGGTATTTGCCACGTTTGAAGAGAAACTGCTAGAAGGCTAACCAAATCTTATTCCTCGACTCCTTTTAATGCATATTAAGAAATATTATTCCACATGAACATAGGGACTGGGATGTGTTTAGTTTTCTGTAGTGCTTACAGCATTATTTTGCTTGATTTTATATGTGAGAAGTGTTTCAAAGCTGACAAAACTCAACCTCTGAGGTGCTGTTCATTTGTCCAAGCTGTGGATTTTTTCTGGATTTATCATCCTGTATAAAATCTCTGTGTCTTGTGCTGAGTGCTCTTYAATGTCCCTTGTCTCACCAATCTCACGGTGGAGTTTGTCAGCCGGAAAGTGAGACAGCARCATCAGCACACCAGGAACCCCACTATTTATCCAGAGCTCTTTGTTGCTTATGAGGCTGTTTGTGTTCATTTTGGTCCTTAATCTCAGGATTTACCTCTTTTGTGACTGCATGGAGAGGATGCAAGTGCTTCTCATGGCACAGACGAAGCCAGCAGATGTGTGAAGGACAGACACCGGGGCACTGAAGAGTAATGCCTGCCCAGTTTCCCTGTGTCAGAGCCTGAAGGAACAGCATAGCTGCTGCTGTGAAGGTGACAGGGTGCAGAAACCTGGATTACTACCAGTTCACTGTGTTTCCACATGCAAGGTGACTGCTCCTCTCCTCCCCAGCTCAGTCAAAGGTGGGAAAATCCACTTCCTATCAGGATCTCCCCCAGATGTCTGCCCCAGTCCTTTTCCTTCTCCCCTTATCCATGAGGTGGTAAAKCACAAGTCCAAAGGGGCTGGAGCTGTTAAGAACAGATCCTGTGCAAATGCTTAGGGATTTTACAGATAAGGATACGACTTGGCAAACAAGTGAGACACAAATGTAGGCATGAATAATGAAACAAGATCCCCCACTAGCTAAGCCCCTGTGGTGCATAAAGTGTAATTAACCTGGTGGTGTGTAGCTGCAGTCTATAGCATGCTCAGTTTAGAAAGGTGCTTTTTGAAACAAGACTTATTATCTAAAAGTGAAATAGGAACAATTAATCTCTTCGATCCCAAGGGAGTGCTGGGAGGCAATCATCAGTTTCACAGTGTAAAAGCAGTCTGCTCATGCACTGATACTCAGTGGGTCCTTCCCTGGTGCTTGGTGCTGACAGCCTGATTGGCATTGGCTTTAGCCTGGCCAAAGACTTGGCTGAAAAGGTTTAGGCGGGTGCCTTTCAACAAGGACCCTGTCACTCTGCTTCTAAAGAAGGATGAGATTTGTGTTTTTAAGAAGGTTGACCAAACCTGCACTAAGCCAAATGCATTCCCATGGTTACCCAGGCCATCCTTCAGCATTATCCCAGCATGTAACTCTTGAGAGGTAATACCAGCAATCAGTCACAACTGGCAAGCAAGCAAATGGTGAGCAAGACTCTCACCATTACCAGCTTTTGCTATCTTGGCATGTTTTTTTTCCATATTCTTTTTCTGCTATCTTCTCTGAGCCAGGAACTCCTACAACACAACATGTATGACTTTGCCTTTCATTTTTAAAATCCAAACCCAGTTTTTCTAATGGTCATTATGGCTGAGCTGACATTTTGAATCCTTCTGAATCTGTTTAGAGAGAAACCAAGATAGAATTGACTAATTTTACTGACCGGTGCCTTAGAAATCAATACACAGATGATGTGAAAGGCYTCTTTTGTTAGATTCAGAGAGCAGTTCTCTAGCATGCAGATTGAGAGTGAGGTGAGTTTTGTTTTAAAGACAAGCTTTTGGGTGGATTAATCCCAGTTTTAGTCCCTTTTAATTTAGGACTATAGAGGGGAAATGTTCAGAAATTCAGGTTTTGA